ATATTCCCTCTCTCTTAGTTCAGGAACTTCTTGCTCTATTGCGAAGACCTTCTGGATTTTCTTGTTGAATTCCTCACACAGCACCTTGTCATTTGTAGTAAACCTGTCTGCTCCTCTCCCCAGTTTCAATATCTGTTCCTTCACTGTTGTGTGTGTGTGGGGGGGGGGGGAGGAAGGGGTAAGAGTGTGGTTAAACTCTCTCTACCTCGGTTACTACCCTTGCTGTACCTGTTGCATTTTAATTTAGCTATCCTAAAGTTCGATTTTCTTGCCGAATCTGAATTTAACGTTGTAGTTAGAGGTGGTTTCCATAACTTCTTTCCATGCATTTCCCTTGTTGACCTGACAGCTGACAGCTGGCCAGGCCGGGTGCTTGACAGCTAGGTGGAGAGCGCTTCGGATTCGTAGTCCTGAGCTTCCGGGTTCGATCCCCGGTGGAGGCGGAGACAAATGGTCAAAATGCTTCTTTCACCCTGATGTCCCTGTTACCTAGCAGTAAATAGGTACCTGTGAGTTAGACAGCTGCTACGGGCTGCTTCCTGGGGATGTGTAACAAAAATGAGGCCTGGTCGAGGACCGGGCCGCAGGGACGCTATGCCCCGAAATCATCTCAAGATAACCCTTCAAGACGGGTTGAGAGTAGATAATATCACTCTTATATAATTGTGCCCAAACCATTCCCTTGAGCGGCTCTCCTCCCAGAGGACAGGTTGCCTCAGTGCTTCCCCAGTTATGGCAGGTTCTGTGCACGTTATCAATTAAGAGTTAGTAACGTATAGCAGTAAATGTTACAAGGAAGAACCTTACAAGGTACAGTGGGGGTGACGCCCGTTACTAAGGTCACTCAGAGTGCCACTAAGTCCTGTACATGTTGATGCCGACGACCACCACCAGGTGAGCAGTAAGGCTCAAGGCCACACCTTTATTATTACTACAGAACAAGGGTCTTAAATCTCCACCCCGCCCCGCCCATCCTCCACCTTTCTCTGTGTCTAATCCACCCCTTCCATCCCTCCCTCCCTCCCTTGTCTTCACCAACACTCCCTCCCCCAACTCCTTATCAAATACCATAGTGACTCTTAACACTAAAATCCCCACAGGAAGCCGAGGTGACGGAAGGGGACTCTGAGACTCCCAGCTTGGTATCCATAACCCACACAGTCGTAGCAGTTGTCTTCGGTCCCCTGGAAAAAAATACGCTTCTCTCTTCCTCCTCCCCCTCTCCCCCCCCCAAAAAAAAAAGCGTTGACCACCCCCTCACACCGACCAAGGTGCGCGCTACGGGGGTGGTCCGACAAATTGTTCATGGGTGAACCAGCCTTAAACCACATGCCATTACGGAGTAGGGAAGGTGACACCACCGTGGGAGGCTGGTGGGGGCCTGATGGGGGAGGGAGGCTGTGTGGCGATGGGGGTAGGGGACGGTGTGGGTGTGGAGGCTAGTGTGGGCGTGGAGGCTAGTGTGGGTGTGGAGGCTGGTGTGGGTGTGGAGGCTGGTGTGGGTGTGGAGGCTAGTGTGGGTGTGGAGGCTGGTGTGGGTGTGGAGGCTGGTGTGGGTGTGGAGGCTAGTGTGGGTGTGGAGGCTGGTGTGGGTGTGGAGGCTGGTGTGGGTGTGGAGGCTGGTGTGGGTGTGGAGGCTGGTGTGGGTGTGGAGGCTGGCGTGGGTGTGGAGGCTGGCGTGGGTGTGGAGGCTGGCGTGGGTGTGGAGGCTGGCGTGGGTGTGGAGGCTGGCGTGGGTGTGGAGGCTGGCGTGGGTGTGGAGGCTGGCGTGGGTGTGGAGGCTGGCGTGGGTGTGGAGGCTGGCGTGGGTGTGGAGGCTGGCGTGGGTGTGGAGGCTGGCGTGGGTGTGGAGGCTGGCGTGGGTGTGGAGGCTGGTGTGGGTGTGGGAGTTGACTGTACATACACAGGCTTTACTACAGACAGTAAATTTTGAATTTAAATTTAACTAAGTTTACAGCCTGAGGTTCGTCCCAGACAACCTGCGGGATTTCATCTAATGATCGTCCGATATTCATTATATTTTGTAAATATCACATCAACCGAGAGGTACTCAATGTGGAACATCTTTATGCTAATGTATATGGAGAGTCTGGCGGGAGGTGTATACTGAGGCTAGAGTCTTTACCAGGCTCGGTACACCTACGCCGCATAATTGGCTACACCGCTGTCAGACGACACTTCACTTACTTTTTACCTTAACTTAAAGACCGGCGTAGTGGGTCTTAAAGACCAGCTGGTAGTGGATGGTCGGCGGGTGTGGGAATGTTGTTCAGGGGACCCAGCCCAGCCATCAGCTGTGTCTGGGTACAAGTGACAGGATGAACAACCCAGCGGGTTTTCTTTCTATTGGAGGGGAGTGTTGTACATGCTGCTATGGCGGTGTGTCCACTCACAGTATGAGTGACGCTGCCCAATACTGTCACTATGGCGGGGTGTCCACTCACAGTATGAGTGACGCTGCCCAATACTGTCACTATGGCGGGGTGTCCACTCACAGTATGAGTGGCGCTGCCCAATACTGTCACTATGGCGGTGTGTCCACTCACAGTATGAGTGGCGCTGCCCAATACTGTCACTATGGCGGTGTGTCCACTCACAGTATGAGTGGCGCTGCCCAATACTGTCACTATGGCGGTGTGTCCACTCACAGTATGAGTGGCGCTGCCCAATACTGTCACTATGGCGGTGTGTCCACTCACAGTATGAGTGGCGCTGCCCAATACTGTCACTATGGCGGTGTGTCCACTCACAGGATGAGTGGCGCTGCCCAATACTGTCACTATGGCGGTGTGTCCACTCACAGTATGAGTGGCGCTGCCCAATACTGTCACTATGGCGGTGTGTCCACTCACAGTATGAGTGGCGCTGCCCAATACTGTCACTATGGCGGTGTGTCCACTCACAGGATGAGTGGCGCTGCCCAATACTGTCACTATGGCGGTGTGTCCACTCACAGTATGAGTGGCGCTGCCCAATACTGTCACTATGGCGGTGTGTCCACTCACAGGATGAGTGGCGCTGCCCAATACTGCATGGAGTCCGTACCTTGTCAAGCATAAGACGGAGCTGGAGAAAGTTCATAGATATGTTGCTAGATAAGTCTCAGAACTCAGTAGTATGAATTACGAGGAAAGGCTGTGTGAATGGCACATCACGTCGCTGGAAGACAGAAGACTTTTGGAAGACATGATTACCACATACAAAATACTTGGGAATTGACAGGGTAGATAAGAACAGATTATTTTGCACGGGGTGGAACTCGCACAAGCGAACACAGGTGGAAACTAAGTACCCAAAATGAGCCACAGAAACATTAGAAAGAACGTTTTCAGTGTCAGAGTAGTTAGTAAATGGAATGCATTAGGAAGTGATGTGGTGGAGGCTGACTCCATACACAGTTTCAAATCTAGATATGACAGAGCCCAATAGACTCAGGAATCTGTACACCAGTTGATTGACGGTTGAGTGGCGGGACCAAAGAGCAAGAGCTCAACCCCCGCAAGCACAATTAGGCGAGTACACCTACATCCCCCAAGATGATGTCAGTAACAGTTGTCTTAACTCCCAGGTACTATTTACTGTTTGGTGAACAGACGCATCAGGTGAAAAAAAACTGCCTATTTGATTCTGCTTTGCCCGAGAATCGAACCCGGGACTTAAGGACTACGACCCTCGAGCGGGTTGTCCACCACATCACTGCCTAATGCATTCCATCTGCTATTTTGACGTTGGAAAAGTTCTTTCTAACGTCCCTGTGGCTCATTTGGGTACTCAGTTTCCACCTGTGTCCCCTTGTTCGCGTCCCACCCGTGCTAAACAGTTTATCTTTATCTACCCTGTCAATTTCTCCGAGAATTTTATAGGTATTGATCATGTCTCCCCTAACTCTTCTGTCTTCCAGTGTCGTGATGTTTAGTTCCAGTAATCTTTCTTCTTAGCTCATATCTCTCAGCTCGGAGATGAGTCTGGTGGCATACCTGTGAATCAATGGGCTCCACACTGGAGCCGCATACTCCAGTATTGGTTTGACATATGAGGTATACAAGGTTCTGAATGATTGTGTTTTTTTTTTAATTTTGCCTCGAGGGGCGAGTTTATTGGGCAGCGTCACTCATCCTCACAGGGGCCTCGTAGCCTGGTGGATAGCGCGCAGGACTCGTAATTCTGTGGCGCGGGTTCGATTCCCGCACGAGGCAGAAACAAATGGGCAAAGTTTCTTTCACCCTATGCCCCTGTTACCTAGCAGTAAATAGGTACCTGGGTGTTAGTCAGCTGTCACGGGCTGCTTCCTGGGGGTGGAGGCCTGGTCGAGGACCGGGCCGCGGGGACACTAAAGCCCCGAAATCATCTCAAGATAACCAAGATAATCCTGTGAGTGCTGGGACAATGGGTCCTGTGACCTCCCCGGCTGAAAGAGGTCCAGAATGCAGGTGCCATCATTGCCTCCTTTGGCCCTGTCCATCGTTTTCCATCCACCTTCTTCTGTTTCATCATATCCTCTCCCCTCTTTTTGTCCCTCCTCCCATTAATTTCCTCCTCCCCGTTCTTCTCCCCCTCACCACCTAAGCCCTTCCCGACCCCCACCCTCGCCTCCCTAGGGCACAGGCAGAGCTGACAACCTATGTAACGCCTCCCCAGTGACCCTGTTACATGACCCTTGGCAAGCCTGTGGCCCTCACGTGACCGCGAGTGACCCTAAGCGACCCTCATCAAGAAATTTATTTTAAAAAAGTAGGCCACATTTTCTCCAACAAGACTGCCAGGTGGCGCTCCGCGGCCACTCTCGCAGAACGAGAGCAACGGCGCCAGTAGATGGAAGAGACGGAGGAGGAGGAGGAGATGGAGGAGGAAAAAGAGGACAGAATGAGGAGAGAATGACTATAACCCGAGCGATGACTATAACCCGAGCGATGACTATAACCCGAGCGATGACTATAACCCGAGCGATGACTGTAACCCGAGCGATGACTATAACCCGAGCGATGACTATAACCCGAGCGATGACTATACTACCGTTCATAAAGTGTATGGTAAGTGTCAACATCATTAAAAATGCATTTTAGATCAAAGATCATATGTTGAGGCTTAATGTTGCAGGGGAAACATCTTATGCCATGGCCACAATCAGAGAACTCTGTATAAACATCAGAGGTCCGCGGTTGTTCAACATCCTCCCAGCGAGTATAAGAAATACTGCCGGAACAACTGTGGACATGAAGAGAAAAATATAGTTTTTTTCAAGTGCCGGACCAACCGGGCTGTTGTGGGTATGTGGGGCCTGCGGGCCGCTCCAAGCAACAGCCTGTTGGACGAGGCTCTCACAAGTCAAGCCTGGCCTCGGGCCGGGCTTGGGGAGTAGAAGAACTAGAACACAAGCAGGTACGAGGCTCAATTTTGCCGGGCAACATCAATAGGGCTCTATGTTGCCGGGCAACATTAATAGGGCTCTGTTGTAGGGAAATAACTTACGGGGCTCTATGTTGCAGGGTAACTCCTCATGTTGCAAATATGCACCTTGCAGAAGTCAAAGCAACAGGAGTAGCATAGACTACTATGCCTCCCTTCATAGTATTCTCCCTCTGCTACTTACCCTCAGTAGCATAGACTACTATGCTACGCTCTGTAAGGGCTCTATGCTGCACGGGTTTTCATGAAAGGTTTATTTCGATTTGAATACATGTTACGACGTGTGTTGTTCTTCCAACCCGTTCTCGCAAATTTGATAAGTCAATATTGACTTATTAAATATGTGCATAGGTGACATACTTAACATAATAGTTTCCCTTGAAAAGCTTCATAGAAAACACCGACCTTACCTAACCTACTTAGTATGTTAAGATAAGCATCTTATTGCTTCGTAATTACAATTATTACCTAATCTATACCTATAATAGGTTAAGTAACAATTGTAATTACGAAGCTGTAAGATGCTTATTTTAACATACTAAGTAGGTTAGGCAAGGTCGGTGTTTTCTATGAAGCTTTTCAAGGGAAACTATTATGTTAAGTATGTCACCTATGCACGCAACTAATAAGTCAATATTGACTTATTAAATTTGCGAGAACGGGTTGTGTTCTTCGGCGGCTTCCCTCGTGTGAGGTGATCATTGTGGGTGTGGGCGGCTGGGTGGGGTGTCCCAGCTGCAGGTGGGTGTAGGTGGGTGGGGTGTCCCAGCTGCAGGTGGGTGTAGGTGGGTGGGGTGTCCCAGCTGCAGGTGGGTGTAGGTGGGTGGGGTGTCCCAGCTGCAGGTGGGTGTAGGTGGGTGGGGTGTCCCAGCTGCAGGTGGGTGTAGGTGGGTTGGGTGTCCCAGCTGCAGGTGGGTGTAGGTGGGTGGGGTGTCTCGGCTGCAGGTGGGTGTAGATGGGTGGGGTGTCCCAGCTGCAGGTGGGTGTTGGTGGGTGGGGTGTCCCAGCTGCAGGTGGGTGTTGGTGGGTGGGGTGTCCCAGCTGCAGGTGGGTGTTGGTGGGTGGGGTGTCTCGGCTGCAGGTGGGTGTAGGTGGGTGGGGTGTCCCAGCTGTAGGTGGGTGTAGGTGGGTGGGGTGTCCCAAGGGCCGTGTGAGGTGTGAAGGGTCCCTCCGCCACCTGCCCTCACAAAACACCCATATATCATCCCCCGCACCTCCCCCTCCCCGACGACCGCGTGGGTCGCTGGCTTCTGTGTATCAAGAGCCTTGCCATTATCCACCTCTCCCTTACCCTCGAGAGCCACTCTCACTCTCCCTTACCCTCGAGAGCCACTCTCACTCTCCCTTACCCTCGAGAGCCACTCTCACTCTCTCTTACCCCTCGAGAGCCACTCTCACTCTCCCTTACCCTCAAGAGCCACTCTCACTCTCCCTTACCCTCGAGAGCCACTCTCACTCTCCCTTACCCTCGAGAGCCACTCTCACTCTCCCTTACCCTCGAGAGCCACTCTCACTCTCCCTTACCCTCGAGAGCCACTCTCACTCTCCCTTACCCTCGAGAGCCACTCTCACTCTCCCTTACCCTCGAGAGCCACTCTCACTCTCCCTTACCCTCGAGAGCCACTCTCACTCTCCCTTACCCTCGAGAGCCACTCTCACTCTCCCTTACCCTCGAGAGCCACTCTCACTCTCCCTTACCCTCGAGAGCCACTCTCACTCTCCCTTACCCCTCGAGAGCCACTCTCACTCTCCCTTACCCCTCGAGAGCCACTCTCACTCTCCCTTACCCCTCGAGAGCCACTCTCACTCTCCCTTACTCTCGAGAGCCACTCTCACTCTCCCTTACCCTCGAGAGCCACTCTCACTCTCCCTTACCCTCGAGAGCCACTCTCACTCTCCCTTACCCTCGAGAGCCACTCTCACTCTCCCTTACCCTCGAGAGCCACTCTCACTCTCCCTTACCCTCGAGAGCCACTCTCACTCTCCCTTACCCTCGAGAGCCACTCTCACTCTCCCTTACCCTCGAGAGCCACTCTCACTCTCCCTTACCCTCGAGAGCCACTCTCACTCTCCCTTACCCTCGAGAGCCACTCTCACTCTCCCTTACCCTCGAGAGCCACTCTCACTCTCCCTTACCCTCGAGAGCCACTCTCACTCTCCCTTACCCTCGAGAGCCACTCTCACTCTCCCTTACCCTCGAGAGCCACTCTCACTCTCCCTTACCCTCGAGAGCCACTCTCACTCTCCCTTACCCTCGAGAGCCACTCTCACTCTCCCTTACCCTCGAGAGCCACTCTCACTCTCCCTTACCCTCGAGAGCCACTCTCACACTCCCTTACCCTCGAGAGCCACTCTCACACTCCCTTACCCTCGAGAGCCACTCTCACTCTCCCTTACCCTCGAGAGCCACTCTCACTCTCCCTTACCCATCGAGAGCCACTCTCACTCTCCCTTACCCATCGAGAGCCACTCTCACTCTCCCTTACCCATCGAGAGCCACTCTCACTCTCCCTTACCCATCGAGAGCCACTCTCACTCTCCCTTACCCATCGAGAGCCACTCTCACTCTCCCTTACCCCTCGAGAGCCACTCTCACCTCTCACGTGGCCGCACTGGTGCCAGCAAGAAGCCATACTTTATTGATAATGCTAAATAGGGTGAACTTTTAACCAATTTTTTCCAGGAGGGACGAGTATTATGCAACGTCTCTCATCCGGTGAGTGAATGAGCAACACACACACACACACACACACACACATATATATATATATATATATATATATATATATATATATATATATATATATATATATATATATATATATATATATATATATATAATATACCACCATAACAGTAAGAAATCCCGCCGGCTCCTTCCTCCTCCCACAGGTAGCCCATTATCAAATTTCAATTCCATATGAGTAGCCTTGAGTTGTGTGTGACAATGTGAGCCGAGCCTTGTGAGCCAGGATACAGCCGAGAGCCTCAAGTTGAGCCTTAAATATTTCTCAGTGATGGCTGCTGTTGCAAGACTTATGTGTAGTTGACCGTCTGTATGAAGAGGGCCCCCTGTAGGTCCGGGTGAAGAGGGCCCCCTGTAGGTCCGGGGTGAAGAGGGGCCCCTGCAGGAGCCCCGGCCAGGCTAGCCATGAGCAGTGGCCGCCGCCACCTGCGCACAAGGGCCGCCCTTATAGCCAGCTAACCTCTCGACTGCCCTTAGTAACGCGGGTGTTAGCGGCGTGACAGCCGTAACAAGGTGTTGGATCAAGTGCTTCTCCTTGATACTATCAACACAAGCGGGGATGAAGAGGGCATGAGCCCCTTACGCCATGACCCCCGTGGGCGCCGCGCCTGCCGCTAAGGGGGGCCACCAACCCCCAGGGCGCCCCCCGCGTCATCCTCGTGGCTCAGAAAATATAAAAGCTCCAGGGTTTTAAGGTCTTGTTTTTTCGCCGCGCGATTAGTGAGGACGCGAAGTGTGGGACGGCCATCCATTTGTTGAGGTCTTGTAAACTCACAAACTATTATGACAGCCAGATGTGAGAGGCTCTGTCCTCCCGTCCCTCTCTTTCCAAACACCGTTTTCTCTCAATATATATAAACCGTTCTCTGTTGATATGTTTTTTTTCAGGAGGAGAGCTATTATAAGCCTCGTATATTAAAACAGCACAGAGCAGTTGGAACATTTATTTACGGTTCTTCAAAGGTTTACAGGGTGTTGATAATTGCTTTTTGTTTCACGCTGGCACTGTGTTCTGTTCTCCCGGGCTTAGACAACCCGTCCCTGTCCGTAACAGGCACTCATGTAGTGGTGGCGGTGACAGACACTGGCCACTAGGCACCCCACACCCGCCTGGCCCAGTGCCACCTTTGACACACTGTGGTGGTACCGGGGCCCCCTCCTCAACCACACTTGACCCCACCACACTCAAGATGGTGATAATACGAGGCTGAACTTGGTGGTGAAGATGATACCCCCTCTCCACCCTGGAGGACACTTCTGTCTGTCTCTCTCTCTCTCTGTCTCTCTCTCTCTCTGTCTCTCTCTCTCTCTGTCTCTCTCTCTCTCTGTCTCTCGCTCTCTCTGTCTCTCGCTCTCTCTGTCTCTCGCTCTCTCTGTCTCTCGCTCTCTCTGTCTCTCGCTCTCTCTGTCTCTCTCTCTCTCTGTCTCTCGCTCTCTCTCTCTGTCTCTCGCTCTCTCTGTCTCTCGCTCTCTCTGTCTCTCTCTCTGTCTCTCTCTTTCCCTCCCTCTCACTCTCCAGTAATGGTCCAACAAACCTGATATACCGAGTTCTGAATGACTTGGTAAACTCATCTCATGACATCCGTTTGATGTTTAAATTCATTTCAAAGTTAAAAACTTTATTCATGAATGTTGATGAACATTGATGAATAAAGGAGACCCACCTCCTTTATACGAGGGTCGATATGATACCAACCCTCAGTTTCTTATTTTATTTGGTACCTTGTGTCAAGGCTCGTATTCTCAGCGTCTAGTATTATTTCCTTGCACTTGCTCGAGTTAAACTCTAGTGACCACTTAATCTATTTTTCACAGCCACAGGGTGAAGACTGGTACATGTTTCAAAAGGTTAAGTTTTGGAACAATTGTTTATTCTGAAGAACGTTCTCCAAATACGAGTCAGGAGAGATTAGTGATGGTTGGTGATGCCTTTAAGGTTAACAGAGCGAGTGAGAACCTCTTGGTGATGAACTGATGACGTCTTGAGACAGTTACACAAGTCCCAGCTGCGTCTGGATACATGTGACAGCATGAATAACCCAGCGGGTTTCCTTCCTTTTGGGGAGGTGGGAGGCGGTGTTGTACATGCTGCTATGGTTTTATTGATATATATATATATATATATATATATATATATATATATATATATATATATATATATATATATATATATATAATAATTATATGCGTATGTAACCTTAACAATTGTGTAACTAGCTTCAAAAGATTGTCACTTGCTTAGCTAAACGAACTATGGGTTCAGTTCCTAAACCAATTGTGCGCCTCTGTAACCCTTTCCACCACCGTCCACGGGATGGGTATGGGGTGTATAATAAAGAAATAAATAACTTGGCGGTATGTTCACTCACAGGATGAGAGACGCTGCCCAGTAAACTCAACCTTCAGAGGGAGAATTTCAATTTCTCTATGCTGCTGGGGTCTCTTTCCGACCTCCTCTTTGGTCAGGACTCGAACCCCAAACAAAATAGCTTGTGAGGTGCAGGGTGTTTCACCGGACTAGTACCCGAACTGACGGGTATGAGCTACGAGGAGAGACTACGAGATCTAAACCTCACGTCGCTGGAAAACAGAAGAGGTAAGGGAGACATTATTGCCTCGTAAAAGATTCTCGGAGGACACTACACTACATTACACTACACAGTGTAGTTTTACCATGTCGTAGCTCAGTCGATTAAGGCAGCGTCTGGGATGCTCTCGGACGCAAGTTCGAATCCTCGTCACGGCCGAGCGGACAGCAGGCTGGACTTGTGATCCTGTGGTCCTGGGTTCGATCCCAGGCGCCGGCGAGAAACAATGGGCAGAGTTTCTTTCACCCTATGCCCCTGTTACCTAGCAGTAAAATAGGTACCTGGGTGTTAGTCAGCTGTCACGGGCTGCTTCCTGGGGGTGGAGGCCTGGACGAGGACCGGGCCGCGGGGACACTAAAAAAAAAACCGAAATCGTCTCAAGATAACCTCAAGATAACGGCCCTTGTGGATTTGTTCATTCACAGAGGAATTGATAGGATAGACAAAGACAGTTTATTTAACACGGGTGGAAATTGAGTGCCCAAATGAGCCACAGGGACATTAGAAAGAACTTGTTTAGTGTCAGAGTTGTTAACAAATGGCACTAGGAAGTGCAGACTCCATATACAGCTTCAAATGTAGATATGACAGAGCCCGATAAGCTCATATACCTGTAAATCGGTTGATTCACAGCTGAGAGGCGGGACCGAAGAGCCGAAGTTCAACCCTCGCAAACACAACTAGGTCTCGGGGCTGAAAAAAAATTCGAAAGCGTTGACCTACGACCAGCTCTACGACCAGCTCTACGACCAGACTTACGACCAGACTTACGACCAGACTTACGACCAGACTTACGACCAGACTTACGACCAGACTTACGACCAGACTTACGACCAGACTTACGACCAGACTTACGACCAGACTTACGACCAGACTTACGACCAGACTTACGACCAGACTTACGACCAGACTTACGACCAGACTTACGACCAGACTTACGACCAGACTTACGACCAGACTTACGACCAGACTTACGACCAGACTTACGACCAGACTTACGACCAGACTTACGACCAGACTTACGACCAGACTTACGACCAGACTTACGACCAGACCTACGACTAGACCTACGTAGCTTCAAGACCATATATGATAAGTAAGAGGGTCGGCAGCCACCGTTGAGTGGTGGGACCCAGGAGCTAAAGCTCGACCACGCGTAAACAACCTGTCCTTTCAACTAATCTGTGCATCAGACCCATTGGTTAGGTGGGTTGCTTGGGTTGGTGTGTTTCTGGTTTGGTTAAAAAGGTTGGATCTTTTACGGAGTGGCTTATCGGCCAGAGCGACTACGCGCGCGCGCGCGCACACACACGTGTTCCCTTCCCCCCCCCCCCCCCGCCCCCCCTCCACCAATGGTTGGTGAAGGTCGGAGGCAAGCAGGCGGGGGTCGAACTGGTGCCCTCGCGTCAACAAACACGACACAACGAGGGAGTTCTCCGCGCTGCCAACGGCGGTAGTTCGCGGTTAGCGCTGGCTCACAAGTGCTCCTGATGGATCACCGCGATAATGGCCTTCGCGGAGGCTGGATGGATAATTAATGAGAGATTCTCACTTAACGTCAACAAGTGGCGGGAGATGGTTGGGACGACACACACACGCGCACGCACGCACGCGCACACACGCACACACGCACACACGCACACACGCACACACGCGCACACACACACACACACACACACACACACACACACACACACACACACACACACACACACACACACACACACACACACACACACACACAGAATGGGGGCCTCGTAGCCTGGTGGATAGCGCGCAGGATTCGTAATTCTGTGGCGCGGGTTCGATTCCCGCACGAGGCAGAAACAAATGGGCAAAGTTTCTTTCACCCTGAATGCCCCTGTTACCTAGCAGTAAATAGGTACCTGGGAGTTGGTAAGCTGTCACGGGCTGCTTCCTGGTGTGTGTGTGTGTGTGTGTGTGGTGTGGGGGGAAAAAAAAAAAAAGTAGTTAAACAGTTGATTGACAGTTGAGAGGCGGGCCGAAAGAGCAAAGCTCAATCCCCGTAAAAACACAACTAGTAAACACAACTAGTAAACACACACACACACACACACACACACACACACACACACACACACACACACACACACACACACACACACACACACACACGCGCGCGCGCGCAGATTTTAGAGGCTAATTTCATGCATAACTTTAAAAGCAGGTATGATAGAGAAGTAAACCAGGCGCCATTGTATTAGACAAACCAATGGCTAGAAAAGCGGGTCCAAGAGCCAGAGCACGATCCTGCAGACACAAATAGGTGTGTACAAATTAGGTGAGTATACACACACACAC